CCACGGCGCTGTAGCCCATCGCCAAGCAGCTGCCGCGTATGCAAACGAGCGGCAACGGCAGACACAGTCTCCGCATCACGAAGATGGGGCGATGTAGGCAATGGCAGGCGATGGTTTAGCTACGATGGAACAACGAAGATGATTTTGTTTTTGGAGAACTGGAGAACACGTAATAAGGATAATGACAGCCGTGAACGTCAGGATGACAAGGACGCTTTAATATAAAAGTAATACATGAGAAGTACGTCATACCAAATATTCAAGTACGGTAAGGAATAAGGAATAATATCTGGATAACGAAAGCACCATCTAATTTGGAAATTGAATACAACATAGTAGCAACTAATAAGGCAATCTCATATCGTACTTGTAAACAATACCATACTCTGCTCCATTCGAATTAATTCCAATTCGCTATTTACTAGGCGGTTTAAAAAAAATAAAAAGGGGAAACAATCATTTCTTTCTCATTACATTACCTAAATATTAAACGCAAGAATTTCAATGTCTTTTCGTTTCTTAAAGAAGATTAAATCTTTGGGATACTAAGAAATTGATACTATTTTTCAAGGCATTTGCGTCCAGTATTGTATTTCAGAACACATATTTTGTCGTGGGATTCTTCCGCTCCTATCTTAGCCCTGGGAAGGCGACGCACACTGTCAGACGGCGAGAGCTGTTACCGCCGGAAGCATCGAGTGACTGTAAACGCTCCCGCTCACGTGAAGACGGTTATTAAGAGCGTGGCTGCCGTCGAGGGCAAAGAGTAAACATGCGGCTGCATCGGAGCGCGCGTAATTGGAACGCGGCGAGCGACGCGCGCGCTGCGTGCGGCGGGGCGCGGACCTATAATTTCCCTAACTGAATAAGCGCGCCGCGTTCGCCACGCCGCGCTCCACACGCTCTCCTCCCGAAGGCTCACTGGCGTTTATTACGAGAGCTGCACCAGATTTCTCCCGAAAGGAGTTCTCTGCCATTACGAGGTAGCCTTGGTCCACACCTGGTTTGCTTATACGGTTAGTCCCCGAACAAGAACAATGGCCGTTGGTAAGGAGACAAATCAAGTCCTCATCAGTTTGCGTTGGATGGAAAGAAACAGAAGTAGTGACATGGAATGCATTGAACTCTAGATTGTTTTGATTCTTGAAGGGCGGAAGGGTTCTGTGGGGGAGTGTGCGAAGTGTGTAAGTTTGAAAATAGTGTGTTTTGGCTAAAAAACAAACGAAGATTAATTTACCTTTTAATTATTTTATAAATATAAAATCCCATAATATACTGAACTGAGAATTTCAAAACTCAGTATGGCTTTGAGCTGTAATTTTGGGCAACCTTAACGAAGTTATTCCCAGGCTACTATGTTTTGCTTCGTTTTTAACTTTCGATAACGAATACAACATTAATTGATATATTTTGTATAGTTGGTTAACTTTTAACACACCCCATATATGTAAATGAACGTTTACTGTGGTTGACCGCTCTATAAGAAAAAATGACAGACTTCAGAAAGGTTAACATCATTGAATTTTTAAGTTCAATTATGGTTCTCTTGTATCTTTCTCTTACACCACGCTGCTTTTTTTTCCATCTTCAACTCCTCCTTCTTTTCTTCCCCCCTCTCTCTCTGTCTCTCTCTCATTCTCTCTCACACACACGGTGTGTGTGTGTGTTAAAAGCAGAACGGGGGGGGGCGACGCCAAGAGCAGTGGATGGTGACGACGGTTGTGACGTTGCAACGATGTCCGTCCACGATACACAATGTTCGTCAATGCCAATGTAGATGATCCAGACCATAAGCGAACCATATTCTATTTATTTAGTGGAGTTATACTTTTGGATATTAAATAGGTGACAATCGTTCACATCATCAAATCTCAATAACGATAATTTTTTACTTCTGAATACGTTTATTTTTACGTATGATTAACTACTTTTTATGATACTTTATTTCAGTCTTCTCCTTTCCACTGCATTATGTCATATTGCCTCTATTCAAGACAGGAGATCGGACAGGTGAATTTATTTCCATTGTATGTAATGAACTGTTTGCTGTCAAGAATTCAATTCAATATTCGCAAGGCGCAAACTGACCTAATGATATACTTGCAATATTTCAAATATTTTAGTGAGCTAAACAAGTCCATTCGAAAGTGTTTAATATCGCGCAGTCACAAGAATAATTGAGATATTTTACATTTTCATCTTACACCCTCAAAAAGACTCAAGTCGTCCTATAAGATACGTTAATTTAGTAGTTTATCAGGGAAAGGAAGAAAGAACTATTAAGAAAGATCTAAACAAACATATTCGTGAACGTGCTAAATGTTTGGTGTCGTGCTAAATGACATGTATTGGTGCCGTGAAAACGAGCAACGAAATGAGCCACAAAAAGCGAATCAAATGAAATCGAAAGCAAGCGTTTGTCCATCTGGAATCGTGTTTTCGAGCACTGTCCGTGGGCGGGCGGCGCACGGCGGCCCAGCCTCCCAGTTGGCGTCCTACAAAAACCTGGACCAGGGCTGGCGGGCCAGCGCGGGTGCTTCCCAAAGGTCAAGGAACACCGCGGGGGGAGAGGGGGCGGGCACGGCGCAGGGGAGGGGTGCGGCAGCGGCGGCGGCGACGTTGCCACGTCTCTCCGTCGCCGTGATACCACTTCCCTTCATGGCTCCTACCATCTTGTTTGGAATCTAGAGAAAAAAGAGGTTCTCCATCGACGAATATCAAGTGGCTGGGTTTGCCAAACCACGCGTAGGAGTTTACGAGCAAATTTTTCACCACAATTCATTCACAAAAATTTCACTTTTGAGTTATTACAGAGATATAATAACATATATGAATAATTTTTGGAACGCGTGGAATTTTATTTTTGTAATGTGTATTTTGGAGAATTTACCACTCTTTTGGTCCTCAGTAGAAAACTATAAAAATTAAATTCGGTGGCTAATGAGAAATAATGAGAGATTTCTTTCTTATAAAGGGATTACCGACATTTTTTTAAAATAACGTGGTGGAAAAATAAGGCAGATAAAATTATAAAATAAATTAATGGCAGCGTATCGCGTATGGGTTTAAAATGCAATAATAATAAAATAATAATAACAAAATAATTACAATTTTAGCAGAAGTCCAATACATATTTTTTCATATGAAATATTTACAACTAAAAAGTACATGATCCTATTAAAAAGCAGTCTACAAATGTTAAATCTTGTTTTTATACTACGATCTATTCTGTATTTAGTAGGCCTATATGAAGAGTAGAGTTTTATTTACTGTAAGGACATAGGTAATATAATTAAAGATTTTTTCCTTTATGCATTAAAACGTGTCCATTATGTTATGCATGTGAAGATTCTTTAGTAGCTTAATGTGTTAGTTGTAGTTTATTGCGTCTCAGATAAATAGTTTTTTTAATAAATTATTTTCACTCACGGATTACAAACAAAACGTTGTCACCCGAAACTTCAAATTTATATTTTCAAACATTATTATGTACTGGTTTGTGATTTAAGACAACTTTACAGCCTAAAATGCAAGTTTCTATATTATACAGTTAGCGATGGGGTTCTCATAGAAAGGTCACAGACGCGTCCTTGCAGCCGGAGGCGGATCGAAACTGAGTTTGCTTGTGATATTGGCTCCGCTGATTAGGGTACGCCGCCGTCGCAAAGGATCAGTCCCTCCGGTTAACTGGCGGCGACTCAATAACAAAATTCAAGTCACATGTCTCAATTTCACAGGTATTTCATGAAATAATCATGTGGAATTCTTCTTCTACCATTGCACTCGCGAGGCGTAATTTACTAACTCGCGCTCGCGTAACTGCTCTTTATGCAAGTGAGTGAGCGTGATGGAATCCTAGCTCCTCCCCCCCCCGCGTGCCGCTCGAGTCTATATCGCATTACGCGTGGAAAAACGCGACTCAATCCGTTCAGGGCAGGACGTTTGAGGCTGCACGCGAATAAATCCTCCTTTTGTCGACGGCGTCGTAATCAAGTGCGTTGTGCTATTTGTCTTGGCTCCGCTTTCTGGTTCTTTGTTCTCGCTCATGAACGATGTCGCTGCCACACTCGACTCTTTCATCTTACCTCATTAGAGTCTCGAGAACGCTGAATAGATTTCAGTAGCAACTTGAAAGCTCAACGCGATTATTAAGAAGCAGAATAAGAACTGTTTCTCTTAATCTGTCCTCGCTGTATAATTTTCCATTCCGAATTAATTGGATTGTTAAGGGGCATTGGAATACCATAGATGTTGAAGAAGTCTCAATGTTTCTGTTTCAGTTGAAGTCAGTTGTTGTGTTTCATCACATGTTCTCTTTAACTTCAGTAACACGATTTAGTATTTCTAACTTCTCCCTTATATTATCAAATGGCGTTAGTATATAGCAATAGCGTATTAATTTAAAAATGTTGTTGGCCGAAATTGTAATTCATTTTCTCGACATAAAACGTACAATTGCAAAGTAAATAAATACGAACTAGGCCGTGCTTATACATCATTTAGAGAACTTGTATTGAAGTATATCTTCGATGAAATTGTTCTACATTTGTGTTTAACAAAACACACCTTTTCTACAGACATATTTATAAATTTAATTGTATTTATAAAGCCTTACTAATATTTACTGCACGTTAACGGTACGTTGAACTGAATGGCGTCGCTCACATTAGAACTTGTCTACAAGAAAACATTCTCAATTTCTTCATCTAGATTTTTCTTACGTTGGCTTAGAGAAAGCAAGCTATAGTATAAATCAAATAAAAGCTAATTTAAATACAAGTATCTCACATTAAAAGCAGTCAATCTTTTAGGTTTCATACAACACCTTCTTGTATCCAAGTATTTGTAAAATTTGTGATACCCATAAAATACTTTTATTGAAATGTCGATCTTATCAAAGCAAACAATAATTAATAAGTAGGTACATGAAAGAATACTTCAATGATAGCATTAAAAATATTAAAACTGGTGAATTTGTGAATATTGTGTAAGATCCGTACCTCTTGCAGTGATGAGAGTGGAACTTCCCACATCCCAAATTAACTCGCCTCGGCAGCCCGCAGCGATCCTGGCATCCTGGCGTCGCGATCGGGAGGAAATTTGTGTATCCCTGGCCCGCATGCCTCGCCGGCGTCCACGCGCTTTCTCTGCCTGCGCCGGTGAAGGGCGGGGCGGGCGGGGTTGGGGTGGGGGGTGGGAGGGGTGAGGCGGGGAGGGGGCGGGGGAGGGGCGCATCGCAGCGACCGGTTTCGGCGGAGGGCGGCGAAAGAACGGGCAGGGAAGTTCAAGATCAAGGCGCGGTGCTGCGCCGTAATTATCGCCTAACGCGCTTGCCAGACACCCCGGTCGCTGTGCTGCCGCCGTCCCAGGGGCTGCTGCGCCAGGTTTGCCGCCGCTACAATCACCTCCTCCCCCCCCCGACTCCGAGGTTGCCGTCACCGGCGTCATTTCGTGCATCGGGACTCTTCCAATCGCGCCTCGTACAGTGCCAGCAGTTATACGCTTTTTCAGTTTCCACCGAAAGTTTTCATTTCCTTGTTCGTACTCATTTACTTGTACACCTCGTACTCATTTACGTACTTCACTTACGTACTCAATTACTTCTTTGCCTCGGTAGCGTAATATTGCTGCAATCTTCCATTTTCTCCATCCCTAACAACATTGTTTTTAACACAAAATACAATTTTGTGTCCTTCAAAGTTCATCAGATGCTCATTGTAGCTCACTTCAATTTTGAGGTTATTTTTGTAATTGAGCATATTTCACTTGATATTGACTTTTTGTCTTTACTAAATCATCTTTCTGCTATGAGAAAACCTTTCTGTTCTCGTGTCCGTTAACAATTAAGCAGTTGCTCAGTTGACGCCGATTTCTCTAGCCGCCAACCCCCCACTGTGAGTCAGCCTCGTTTTCTTCAAATCTTTGACCCCTAGACATTCTGCGAAATTAACCTCACTTTCCAGACCGAAACCTTCGGGAACACGCTGCCCTGGTCACAGCTGACACCGTGTGCACCGCCGCCCACCTCCTCCCCGGGCGCGGAGGGCGTGCCCCGCGGTTACACAACGGGGCGACCGGAGGCGGCGGCGCGCCGGTTCCCGCGATTCAGTCGCTGCGAATTTACGACGAGGCGGCGTTTCGCGTTGCGTGCAGCGGCGGCCGCCGCCTCCTCGCCTCTCCTCTTCTGCCAACACGCGCGCCCCGCAGCATCCGAGAAATCTCCATTTGGGAGTCGTCTTCGGTGTTAACACCGGTTCCACGCAAGCGGCGCATACGTTACGGTTCAAGCCGCACCGCGTCGCACCCGCCCGCAGTTCGGTTTCAGTGCGTTTTATGCGCGCCGCTTCCACAGCCAGCCGTTTGTGTTGCTTCGCATCGCGGCGCGGGACCGCTTGTAAGAAGATGACTCGCTAATAAATAAAATTTTACTCGAGTTTCGCGGTGGGTATGGCGTCGCGTTATACAAATAAAATCCTTGAGCCTGGGAATATTTCGAAATTTACAATTAATGTTGCTACATGGGTGTGTAGAATACTAACCAAAGTAAAACGTCACGGATTTACATTCATATTATTAAATACGTTTTAAAGCACGCGCACTGGATGCTTCAATGTGCCTGCTTCCAACGCGGTTTCACAATGCAATATATAAATTGAGGCGCGCAAAATAATAACGGCAGATCGTAACCGAAGTTCGTTTCGAGAAAAATTACTTCCTGTTTTCATTCACGTTTACTTTCTCTTGAGGCAAAATTTTAAAGGTGAAATTTTATAGTTCATTTTATGTTTAAGCATATGACAGGAGTTTATCGTCACATTTCTAACTCAAAATGCGAGGTCGTTTGGGATATGCCGTTATTATAATAAGCGCTGCAAATAAAAATCGAGCTAAATTACTCCTGTAAAAATATATTATTACTTATTTTTGCTAAGGTCATTTTCCTCGTTATTTTACGACGAAACAAATTAAAATTGATTTTGTATGCAAAGACTGGTATGGCGGTCACGTACCTCTTTCTGGGAGGGTTTACTTGAGCTGCTTTTATTGTACTTCACGACATCAGGAAGCTCAACAAATTAATACACCACACTTGTTCACGAAATGAACAAAGCTTTCACACCCCACGAAACAATCCACGGCTCTCTGCCACAACCAGTAGTCGCCTGCTGGCCCGCGACCAGAGCACACACTTTCAGTCTCGTTTAATGAGTTGGCAGCGCGCAGTCAAGTGCGCGGCGCACTTATTTCGGCCTACTGAAAGGTAAATAGCGGCGCTCGCCAAGGCAGCGGGGCGGCCGAATTAACGAACGGCGGTGGCGGTGGCGGCGGCTGCAAGCACGGGAGGAGGAAGATTCGGGGCTTAGGATCCAGGTGCTGGGAGGATGAGGGACGTGGAACATGTAGGCGACTGGTGGATCGAGGAATAAAGCAGCTCAAATAGAAGTTGGGTCACCTAGTGTGAGTCGTCTTGAGACTTACATTTCAACCATAGGGCGAGAGATTTGCCGAGATGCAGTGTAAATGTTCTAAATATTTGCGAAGCAGGGCTTCTGACGAATAAACGATTTCAAATACAACTACTACTACTACTAATAATAATAATAAAAATAATATTACTTTTTTATGTAATTTTACAAATATAAAAATGTAAAATGTAATAATGCACCTGTACTGTTGTATTAGTAATAATTAATCACTTAAGCCCTGAGCCTGAAGCCCTTAATCTCTTGCCTTGGCCGAAGCACAGTTTCATTTAACAATTTTTAATTGAGAATAAATGATAATAATAATACACGTAAGTGCTAAATATAACAATGATGAAAAAGGATGTAATCATCCTACGTAAGACACTACTTCAACGTAGGTAGACACCCTTTTAACCTCGAGCATTAACTTCACAATGTATTTCGAACGCTTGCCCAAAGCTCGAAAGCCGTCCAACTCGGAAGGATTCCACTGCATAACAAAAAGAAACGCCGCTCTTAACAGCGAAAGGAACGCGAAAAGCGCACGAAGATGGCGTCGCCGGGGGCGTCTGCGGAGCGAGAGCGCGCGTTCTGCGGGCACAGAGCAGCGGCGCAGGGGCGGAGGCCGCGGGCAGCGCGAGATTAAAGAGCCAGAGCCGGCGGCGGCGCATTCCCGCATCGCACGGCCGCCGCCGCCGCCGCCGCCGCCGCCACGCTGTGCCGGCCCGCAAATAACCGCCTCCCAGCCGTCGCCGGCGCCCTACGCCGCTTGGCGAGACAGGGCGGCGGACGCGGTGGCTGTCGGGTTCTGACGGTAACAAGCGGGCACATCATTTCTGGTTACGGAGAAGTAAAAATAGTTGCGCCGTTTGCGGCGTGAGTATTGCTTGCTAATCTTCCATTTATTTTTCATTGTTGAGGAGACTGGAAAATTTGAACTCATGGACAATTTCGCACACTAGGAAAATCACAAAGTGAAGATTATGTGTGCATAAAATTACAAAGTTACGAATGGTTTCAATATTTTCACCTTCATTCAATACAAGGGGAAAATGCAAAGAAGTCGTTGTTAAATTAGGTGTGATACAATTTAATTAAAATAAGACATTGTAATTTTCCGTCTGTGTTTAATATCAAAATTAGACATTTGTATATAAAAATGATCGGAAATAATTTTAAATAGTTTTTGAGCTTTTTCTGATACATTGAATACGGATGTACATTGTCAGACCTGTAAATGACTGAAATAAACATTGTTATTGTCAGTAAATGTGTCGTAGATAATTAATGTCAAATTTAATTGTAGTTACGATCGTTCCTTCCTTCAGCTTTGTGTACACATTCTTAAATGGAGCCTACTTCCATACAAGTTATTACATTATTTTTGTTCTACTTATCTTTATTGGTATTCGCTACTAATTGAAAATAAAAATCACTCTGCCCCGACATACAACCACAAATAAACACGTAAGCTTGTTAAGAAAAGAAGTCCAGAAGTCAGGATATTAACACATATTTTCTAAATGTTACAATTGTAGAGATATTCGCAGAATTAAGAGGCATATAATCAAAGCGTTAAATAGCTGAGAATAATAACTGCCTGCACAAGATCTATCTAGTAAACGCGCCGAGGTTCACGTAATTACATGTATGGAGATGCGCTCCTTACTGGTCACTTTACATGCATTCTTGAATGACATAATGCGCCTCTTTCATTCAAGCACAGTGTTCAAAGTTATCTTAAACGTCGGTTTCCCGCGCGATTCACTCTGTGATGAGGCGTTCCGCCCGCACTTCACTCTCGCTCAGGCACTGGGCCACAGCGAACACACTCCGAAGGCACCGTGCTCCCCCTCCCAGCAAAGACATAAAACTCCTCTTTACCCAAATCGTAATTAGGCGTTTTCGCACCCGCGCGCCGGAGACGAGATAAGATTTCTCGCTGTTTTCGGCGTATCCGCACAAGCATCTCGCATCCGCGCGCATTCCACGGCAAAACGTACGTCTGCTCCAAACAGGCAGGGGCGTTTTAAAAGCCCCCACAATTCCAGATCCCACATCTAAACTATCCTCGGGCACGAAACTTAAATTCAATAACGCCGTCTTTCGCCGCCCCGTCGCGCCCGCAAGCGCACACTCCGTGATCCGCGAGCTTCGGCCCGCCGACCGCGGCGTTCGTGCGACGCAACAATAAACGCAACAAACAAACGACGTGCGAACGCAGAAAACGAGACGGCGGGATTTCCCGACGGTGCTGCTCCCTGTTGAAGGCACCTCGCACTACGTGAACGTGCGCCCGGAGGGAGCCGGCGAGCCAGCCGCCCCCCAGAGAGTGCGCTCGCGCTCGGAGGGGTTGTCTGCGTGGAGCGCGAACGCGCGGCCGGGGGCACAAGTGGGGTTTTTTTCTGCATCTCGCAGAAATTCGACGTCGGCACCCGCAGCTATTTTTACTGCGGTTCATTTTTTCCCCTTGGTTCCACCACGACAGCCCCGCCGCCGGGCAGCTATCGCGATGTGGGTTCGTCATGCGAGGCGCGGTGGCGGCGGGCGCAGTGGTGTGGGGTGGGCGGCGTCGGCGGCGCTACGGGCTTGTTCCCGCCCGATACAGGACGCGATAGGCGGGTAATTGAGCGTAATTTGAAAGACCTGCGCGGTGGAGGCGGGGACGACGGAGGCGGCGG